TTGGATGATGTTTTAGCAAGCAGAATTTATCACAAGGGGCAATTAAAAGAACAAAACAAAACAAAAAAAAAATCACCAAAAAACCAAAGAATGAGCCTGAAGGCCTTTTGGAATAAATATTTAGGTCATTGTAATTTTGTGTGATTTCTATGCAGTCTTCCCAGCTCCCTCTTTGCCCACTTGCATGTTTTTCAGGGGACACTTGACTTTCATCCTTAAACAATCATTTCTTTAAAACAGATTCTGTTAGATCCAAAATACTGCAGGAGAGGAGTCTCAAGCAAGGGATTGTGATTTTGGGGCTGTGACACAGAATGACAGTGGAATCCTGTCATTCCTGACTACTCATCCAGTCCTATCATGATGCTGTCTCCTGCTGTGCATGACCATAAAGGACACTGATATAGCTGAAAAATAAACTCTTTTTTCTGGTGGGTTATGTCTTAGTTGGGTCACTTTATCTCTTCAGCTCCCCACACCAAATGGGGAGCTGTCAGCACAGTTGGGAGGGGTCTGGAAAGCAGAGACGAACATCTGGGGACTCAACTGCTCCTGCAGTAACCTAACTTCCACCTGAAATGCTCAGAAGAAATAGTTACTTATGAAATTATTCGGCCTGTACAACAACACGATAGAATTTAAAAACTATGATCAGAAAAAATCTTGGGATAAGAATTTATCCAGGTAGTGAAGGTTCAGCCCAACCATTCAGATCCCAGTATTTTCCATCGCCAAAGCACCTTTGCCCTCTGCCATCCACTATAACAGCTCTGATGGCACCGAGTATTTGTGCAGGGGAATGGGAATAATTGGTGTCTTCTGAGTTGTGTTATTTGTGCCCTATGTATCACTGTCAAATTATCTTCACACCTGCTTCAAGTGCTTTGTCCCCTCCAGATTCCTTGGCTTTCCTCCTACTGCCTCATGTTTTTTTACCAGAGGAAGGGCATGAGGGTATGCACACTCCAGTTGATTTTGAGCTGCTTGTGCTGATTATTCAGCCAACATATCAAACAAACAGTTCAGGGTGTGCTGAAGGTTCTGCTCAGCAGGATGGACATGCTCAGCTCTGCTCTGCAAGACATTGCCTGAAGTACACAACAGCAAACATTTGGAGCTTACCTCTTTCAGCTGTTTGCAATGAAATTAGAGAAATGTGTTCAACACTTGCTTGGGACAAGGAGGAAGATGTGAAAATACACATCTTCCTCCTTGGAAGGAAAAAAAAAGAAGAGACATAGGGTGTGGGAAATGGAAAAACAGAAACTTCCACAGATGCTGAAGTGAATCTGCAGCCTTAGAAAGAATTTGGGTTAATGTAATGATCAAAGTACACAAACATTAAGTAGAAAAATTATAAACTTATGTTCCTATAGTTATAAGTAAGAATATGTCTTGAGTAAGTAAAAAATTATATTAAGTAAAATAGCATGAGGTTTGAGCTGTAATAATGTGACTTATAAAGTAGGCTAGGGATCTAGAAGCTATAATAGAGGTGTGTGTGTGAGTACGTGACCTGTCAGCTTATTGGCTAAGAGACAGTTGCAGTTCAGCAAAATTAAGCAAAGGTGACAGGTTATTAAGTAGAAACAAGTTTCATGTTAACTGTCTGTTGAACCAAAATGTTCTTATATTGCTGTGTGAAGAAGAAACCCGTGACTACCTTGAGCTATGGCTGACCTGTTGCTCCTCTCTAAATCTCATGCCATCAAGACTGATATCTTACCTAGCTTACTTGAGCAATAAATCATCTTAAATAGCATGGTAGTCCCATGCCTCATTTTTCATCTTGACAATAGGGGAAAAAAGTTTAATAAGGCTGGTCTCCTTAGGAAGAAATCCAAAGCCATTGCATTCCAGCAGGAGGAATGAATAATATGCTTAGCAAAACATATTGTGCCAGTATGTATGCAACCTGCAAAGGCTGTACCTCTTTGAAAAACACTGAGAAGTTCTGTAGTGACAGCACTATTCCTATACATACCAGGTGATAGCAATTGGCTGGTTGTTCCTGTACTGTCCACTGCACAATGGATATGTTCTCCTCCTTGTAGGTATCTGCTGTTCACTTCAAAGACTAACTTGTAAAATAATTTTCTTCCCATGCTAAATATTTACAGGGGGAAAACTCCCAATTAATATTTCCTGCTTACATTCTGCTTTTGTAAGAAGCAGCAGACATTTCTGATGGCTATTTTGAATAGAAATACAATATTGAGGATAACCAACTTACATAGATTGGCCATGGCTTTCTCTTTTTTTTTTCTTCCAGACTCTATTTTGATCACTGGGGACAAAAAGCGTTCAAAGTCCTTTGTGTTACTGGAGACAAAATGAGCTTATATGTCAGGGTCACTGTGTTTTAGATAGCAATAGTCAGAGGAAACAGCTCCAGCAAGGATGGATTCATGCTGGCTTGGTTGTCTGTGAAAAGGCTAAAATATTTTAATCGCATTTTCATCCTGGTCTGTGCATTTGGTTTTGGTTCTTTTCAGGACTAACCACCTTTCATATGTTTTCCAAGTCTTCCCTCTATAGAGTCTCCTATATACAACCACAGCCAGACTTTTCAGGCTCTTACCAATAGCTAATTCATCTTGCAGATGAATTATTAAATACTGTTTCAATAATCTCTTCTACCCAAGCTGCAGACATCTGAAGATGACAAAAACACACTCACAGTAGTCCATTTCACTCCCCATCAGACACCTTTTTTCTATGCTTCTTTAGCTTCTCTGCTCAAACCAATGGAAAAGGCTTTTCCTAGCTAAAAGAACACCAGAGTGAGCCAACACAGAAATGTGTTAGATGATGGTGGAACTGCAGACATACTGCAAGCCTTGTGATACTCAGGAATGAATGTACCTTGGCTAGTTTAGTGGCATCTGCTCTGGTGATCCAGCCTCCTGCCCATCTTGCTCCAGAGTTCTCACTCTTGCAGACCACAGAGTATTGAGTATATGAAAGGGACAAACATTTGAATTTAGACATAAAGTCTAGTGGCTCTTCAGAATATCTGTTAAAATACATTGACTCTCAGTTACTCGCTGTCTTGCAATATAGAAGAATGGCCCAGAACAGTATACTTTTTTGCTAAAAATATATGCTGATGCTAAAAAAAGAGAATGAGGTGAAAAGGCAAACCAGAGGATTTCCAGACTGGGAGTCAGGAGTAATTATCCCCCAGGGACTGCTGGAAAACTTTTACTTTCTCTTGGAAAATGGAGTAAAGTTATTTTGTACGGTCACTGGGCACTTTTCACTAACAAATTCTGCATCTGTGTGAGAAACACAGAGTGTTAGTAATTTCTCTGCTCTCTTTCACTGTAAATTTTAGGTGAGCACTTCTGGAACTAAAGGTCAGATGCTAGCACGAGAGAGATGGCCTGTCTAGGTGGAAAGTCTGAGTACCACTCATACAAGGTTTTAACTACATAAAGGCTCTCAGGAAAATTGTATCAAATTATGATTATTTTAAAGCTGCTTCAAATCTCTAAGGGGCAGCACTATTTGAAATTTAGGAGGTTTTAATTCAATTTAGATGAACTGTGTTTTGTTAACCTTTTTTCATTCTGCCTAATAATGGATGTAACATGGAGATTCAAGTACTTCACTCTTAGTTTGTATTTTTAATTCATTCAGATAAATTTTGTTTCAAAGTCTTAAGGTTTCGCAGGTCATAAAAGTCTGTGACTAATCCATGATCTAGAATTAGAACCTGCTATGACAAGAGCTACATTGGCAAATATAAAGGTACAAGAGTTGATTGGAGTTTCTAGAATTGATTTTGCAAATTCTGTAATTTTCACTGCTGACTAATTAATATTTTCAAACACAGTTTGTTTTCTTTCTCTGGTCTCTAAATGCACCAGTAAAAAGCTTATCAGGATGCTGAAGAGCCTGTCTTTAAAATTCAAATGCATCTACTGCAATTAAATAAGTATGGATAGTAGTCATAGCTCAGTTTTAGGAAACTGGAAATAGCACTATTTCCAGGACCATTTGCAAACAGTATTCCTTAGAGTGCAGACAGCCAATTAAGGTGGTGTGGTGCCAGGGGAAAAAAAAAAAAAAAAAAAAAGAAAAAAAAAGAGAGTGAGAGGGAAGAAAACAGTAGAACATGTGTTCAGTTTCTTGGGCTTTTCATTTCTCCTGATCACTAGGGCAGCTGGACAGTGAGGCACCAAGGCAGTCATTAATAATCCCTGCTGAGACTTCCCATCCTGGGTCTCTCACTGACTGGAATCTTTCATCCTGTCTTTTTTAGATTGCCTGCCAGGATGTTCTGGGTGTTAGTGGAGTAAGAGGGCTTCTTCAATTCACCTATATATTCTCCTTTTAGCATCAAGTTTTTCTCTGCAGGAGGAAGACCTGGCAAAAGAAGGAATATGACAAGTAAGTGAGAATTTTTGTACAGCAACTGAAACATTTCCATCCAAGTCTATTCTGGTCAGGTGACAATGGAATTTCTTTCCTATACCTGGGTGAAATATGATCAGTGTCTCTTTTCCCAGATGTATGTAGTAAGTATCCTACTAGGCTACTTAGATAAGAACAACTATCCAATTTAAATAATAATAACAACAACAACAATAAAAAAGTAAAAAGTAGTACAGTTTCTTTCAATGGAAAAGCAAGAACTCAGTTCAAGTGCATTGACTACAGTTTTATGTGTGTTCATTTTCTTTAGTCAGCTTGTCTGTTGACAGAATTATAACATCCTAAATAACATAAACGGCAATTGTTGGCTAGATCAAGGATGCTCTGGAGTGATACATTTCTGTGTCATCTGATGTACACTGCACTGTGCGGATATCATTATTACCTAGGGATACTTGATTTTAGCACAGTTCCAGTGTTAATTAATATGTACCTAGCACAGCACCCTGCAGCATCACCTTTCATTCCATTTCATGCCTGCAGCAATAACACAGGCTACTTCACAATACTTAAAAGGAAAACCAAAATTATCCTACTTTTACAGCACATCCTTAACCACAATGAGGTAAGGATAAAGTCATGCCAAGAGGAGAGAACACCAGAACAAACCTAAAGAACAGGATTTTGAGCAAGGACTGAACTTTGTGCTTCAAAATCTTCTTACTGCTTATCACGCTTTGGTAACAAGAAAATGCCTCTTGCACAAATTAGTCATTATGAAAGGAGTCTTTTAAGATACGGGTGTTTCTATTTTTGCTTCAAAACCTCAATAATCAACATAGCAGAGCAAGATAAAATCACCTTGTCTGTAGCCAGTATATGAGGAAATTAAGGGGGTTAGAAGCTCAATACAAACCCTCCATCCTATTTATTTATCTATCGTAATTTTTTTTAGGAAGAGAGCTACATTTCCTTTGAAGTCAAAGACCAGTTGTCTTGGGGTGACTTTACCTTTAAGGTAGCTTCGGGAGCTGGGGGTAAGTTGAAGCTGCGAGAGGCTGATGGGAGTTTTTCCTCTGTTATTGGTCATTTCTGAGAATTGGCGGCGGTTTTAACCATTGAAAAGTGAGATAAACTTGTGAACACTACCTTAAAATGTAAAGCGAGGGTCCTCTCGTTCTCTTTAGTTTTCCAGCTTCTGACGAGGTAACATGTGGATGAGGAGGAGCCCGCCGATCCCGAGATCCTGGCTCTCCCCTGGAGACAAGATACTTCTCTGTAAGAGAGACAAAATGTATCGCTCCCAGGGATCTTTGAGTTAGATATGTTAAACTGTTCTGTTTCATTGGTGTTCCCCCCTGCTGTCCCACCCCGATACATGTATCTCAGGCTCCCCCTGCCCTCTCCTCCCCTATAAATATCCCGGGTTTTCCCCTGTTCCGTGGATTAGCTGTTGCTGGCTCCCTTCACCAAAGCTCTGCCTGAATAAAGGTTTGTGCTTAGCGGAACGCTGGACCAGCTTTCTCGTCCCTGCTTCCCGTGTCACCTGCCCGCCGCCGCTGAGCCGAGCTGGAATCACTTGACTGCCTGAAACTGCTCACACACACTTTGGCCCAGCCCTTTTCAGGGCTGCTTCTCTAGAGAAATAGCGGTGCTCCGGCTTTTCTGTCGCCGTTTCTGCTACTGAACTGAAACCTGACACCATGAACATCTGCAGCTTTCCAAGACTTTTAACTCTTTTACTACCTGGATGAAACTTACAGATTACTCTTTTTTTCCCAGAGACAGAGAAGGAAAAGAGAGAGAGAGAGATAACATGAAGAAGACATAATAAAACCATCAAAGATAGTGAAGAAGACAGTTAAGTTTTAGCTGGAGAAGAGAGAATAAGGAGATGCTTTTTAAGCTGAAATATTTTTCTGTAAAAACTATAGACATGGAAAACAGTGTTCTGAAAAATAAAGCTTCTTTAATTCATGACAGATTATATTGGGGAATGGAGTGTTCAAAGTGTGGATTTTGAGCAAAAGGTGGAGTAATTGTGATACAGTGAGGTGCTGGAACAGAGTGGAAGAAGTAACAGTTGAAGATCTGGGGCCTTGAGAGGCAAAGAGAAAACTTCCCTTTCCAGGGAAGCTCACAGAGACAGATGAAGAGAACTTTTGCCTTTGAAGAACTCATCCTTAAAATGACACCCCTTGAATCATGACCCAAGAACACACCTCCGAGTGGTGTGAAATGGGAGAACTGATGACAGATTTTTTCTGGGCAGCTGGCATCAGAGAAATAGAAAGCTATAACAGAAATAGTTTTCTTGTAAGAAACCACATAGATTAGCAGAAGAAGACTTCTGTTTCTCTACAGAGACTGATGAAAATACTCTAGCAAGAACTGTGACTGTTTTAAACAGTAAAGTTCCAAAGTTTTTTGTCTCTATGTTGTCATGTGAACAAGGGAATGGTGGGTAGTGGGGGAAAGAGGAGTTTTCTGGAAGTTTTATTCTAGTGTTCTTACTCTTGTAGTTCTGTTAATAAACTTTCTTTATTCCTTTTAAGTTTTAAGCCTGTTTTGCTCTTGTTCTAATCCACATCTTACAGCAAGAAATAAGTAAGTTTTCTAGTAAATTTTTTAGCTACTGCTTTAAAACCACAACATTTATTTGGTGCATTGGCCGAGAAACAAAATTAGCAAATCTAAACCACTGCACCAGTACAAATATATGACAGATCTAGTACTTTTATTTGGAAGTATGTTCAACTAATACACATTTTCTATTTTTTCCCTTACTTTTTCTTTCTGAGACTTTTCCATCCTTTACTTTACCTCTGTGATCTGGTCTAGTAGGTACTGAACAGATTTGCCAGCTGCCACAGGACATATTTAGGGCTGTGTTTGATACCTGCTCTCCTGTGGTGCCTGGCACTGCGTTATGACAAAGTAACTGCTCTGGTTCCAGTAAACAATCTAGGACATGAAAGGCTGATTTGTGTGCTGACACAAAAATGCACCTTTACCACAGAATTATTAATGGACAAGGGTTTGCTCCATTGAATTTGGAATCTGGTTATCTTTTTTAGGGCAGTTAGTCTGCTGTGAATGCTTTGGGTACTATTTTGCTTTTCTGTGTTGCCTGAAGATGTCACTTTTCCACCTTATTAACTTAGGCTGGCTACTTCTTTTTCCCTTGGGTCCATTTGTCCAGCCTCTTTCCTTGAGTGTGCAACCTGCAATCTCTTTCTTCATCTTCCACTGACAGCACCTGGAGCTGATTGGCCAAAGCTGTTCTGCTCCCCCATTTGGGATGAATCTGTGCTCTGCTATTTCCTCAGCAGTCTCCAGGCACACACATCTTGTCACAAAAGAGAGGACTTCCCCCTGCCCTCCAGGGCAGAGCCTTCTGCTCACCACGATCTCAGGTTCACCAGCAGATGTGAGAGAGATCAGCTCTCACACCATCTCCCATGTACCTTTCCTCTTGGAAGCAGCACAGTTCTGCTGGGTCAAAGATCCCTTTTGGTACTGTCCTGGGTGTCCCAAAGCTCTAAATTTACCTACATATGTGCAGGCACATCTGGGTAATATGTGAATAGTTCACAGTGCTATGTCTCTACCTCCCACCTTACCAAAGAGGATGCATTTCACACCCATGTCTTTGGCTTTCATAGCAAATTGACGGATGCTACAACTCTTAGAGCTTGAGGGAGAGACAATATTGAGGTTTTGTAGGTCCTTTTTTTTTTGGAATAGAGGCCTGGAATAGGTAATGGGTGATGCTCAGCACAATCCTGGTCACAATACTGTGCATTTCTTGTTTACAGAAGGAGAATCATTCCAAGTGTCCTTTTGTGGATGCACCCGAGGACACCAACACTGCAAGCTCAAAATTGTCTCCTCTCTAGTCTGTTCCTTGCACGTGAAACAGAGAAATTAAGAATTAGGAATCATTTGTAAAATTGGTTTGCATAAAAGAAGGGGCTACAAAACCCGTGTGAAATACTGACTGTTCCCATAATAGCAGAAAGAGAATAGACTGTAGGATGAGGTAAGGAGCTGGAATACGTAAACAGGATACAAGCCTAAATGCACCACAGGATGAGGGGTTTCCTTGGATTCTTTTGGACCCCTAAGCCAGAGGAAATGGAAAGAGGGGGGTCAAAAGAACTGAAAGGAGCATGCACAAAGAGACAAGGTAAAAAGTTCAGCCAAAGGAAAAATTCCGACTTCAGCCCCAAAGACCCCCAGAAGACCACCAGTGACCAACAAGGAGCAGTGCGCAGCTCCAAATAGGCGTGGAACGAATTTTAATACTAGCGGGGACAGGCGGGGTTAGCAAATGAATATGTATTAGGCGTACTGTGTAATCCTACTTTGTAGAGAATAAAAAGGGAGAAACAAGTCTCCAAGGTGTGCATGCCTTTGGAGGAGATGTCCCCATGCACCTCAGCGCTGAATAAATTCATACCTACTCTTATAACTACTCTACGAGTTATAGGGGTCCTTTCTATTCTGCATATCACACGTTTTTTATTCAGTTTATCTCTTGGTTTTTGGTGGTATTCTTCACACCAGACATCCCTCTGCTTATGCTAAAAACATCTGTACATTCTTTCAAAGAAACACTCTGTTTCAGTCACTCAAATTCATAACCAAATGTAATTTGGTTTAGGAAAAGGCAGCCCTTCTTGTCATACTCCCGGTAGACTCTACGTAATTGCAAATTGCTGCAGGACTTTCTCTGCAGTTCCTCTGCACTAGCATTGGATTGCTAGCCTCCCCCACTTTCTTCACAAAAGTATCTCAAGTATTCCTCACAAAAATATTTCAGCTGTTAATACAGATGCATTTTTCCCTCGTCTACCGTGTTGTCTCTGCACAACAATTCACAGAATTAATCTACAAAAAGCACTGAGGAAAGCAAAACATTCTCGCTACTGGAGGGGAGCAAGGGTGTGGCCTCTCTAGTGCCGAAGGCCCCGGCCCTGCTGCCACAGCGTGGCTGGCACAGAACATTTCGCTCAGGTTCGGCAGCTCCAGCGCCCTTTCCGCCGGTCCGGCCGAGACCCGGCTCCTGAGGCGCGCAGGGAGGCGGCTGCTCCGCCGGGGCCGCTTGTGG